CCCCCCCCCCCCCCCCCCCCCATCACGCTGGGAACATATTATCACTCATTGTTGCTCACACTATCTTCGTCTGAACTGCTGTCTGCTTCACACACACAAATAACTGCACACAAACACGCATTTAATACTGACTGGAAGATATTACAGATACAGCAGGTGGAAACAATAATGTGCGTATAGATACTGGCTTTTTATTATATGTACTCATGGATTACAGGCTCATGGATTTTTGAAGCCTGGTTGGCCGTCTGACCTTGTGCTTAGTTGGACAGCTTTTGACTCTGCTTCTCTTGTGTTCGGGTTTGCGGTAATTCCTCGGAACAGACTCCCGTTCCAAGCCTCTGTACTGTGACAGTATGCGGCCGGTGATTGCTTCTATTCTGGACCGGCTGAGAATGGACGGCTCGTGTGATGTAAGAGTCTATTTTGCTCCTGCGTTCCTGTGAACACTCAGCGGGGTAACACTGTCGCCCCTCAACCCTGGACTGGGTTCAGAAACACTTTCTGTTGGTCTGCTTCTTTGTTCTTATCAGTCTGTCTTGTTAAATTCACACGCATTCTCATAAAACAGAGACTAATCAAAGATGTGCATAACTTCCAGAGGTATAAAATACTGTAATGACTGATCAAGCTCATAGACTGGTAGCTCTCATTGTCATCAGGGTTGTATTTATAGTGTGGAGCGATGGGGGGGGGGGGGAGGAGTATGTTGGGGATTTCAGAGGGATATTTCATGAAGGCCTAATCGGTATAGGTATGAAGCTGTGCTCGGTGATGTGCCGGGCCATGCTGTGAGGGTGACAGGGCTTAACAAAAAGCTTTTTTTGGTGATGGGTTGGAATGACTCAGACACACTGGCATTGTCCGTTTACAGCCTGAAACCCTAGTCAGTAGTCTCCTCAGAGAACCCAACGACCCAGTAAAGAATTCATTGGTCTCCAGCGCAACCATGTTTGCAGGTCGAAATATTTTGCGTTCAGGAATTTGGTGTCTTTGCTCCAATGACACGAGGCATTACCAAGTCCGAGTTTGATGACCAACTATCAATTATTTCAGACGCGTTACTGGCGGACCTGGAATCTACTACGTCCCACATCTCAAAGCGACCTGTGTTCCTGGCTGAGGAGACCCCCTACTCCATCCCCACTGGAGGGCACTCCTACCAGGATGTGTCCGTCCCACCTCCAGTCCCTCCTCCGCCCTCAGCTGAGGCTCTGAACGGGTCCCTGATGGATCAGCCGGACTCCCACCACTCCTCTCAGCAGGTATGTTTCCGTAGTGTGATGATCATGCATAACTCGTGAACTAATGTTTCTCCGTGAAGCCATTCCGCAAACAGGTTCCTCTCTGATATCAAACTCATCGGAAAAGAAACATGAGAGGGGAAGTCAGTCTTGCACAGTTAACTGTGTCCAGATGAATGTCGAATCGAAAGCCAAGTGGAAACTCTGCTCATGTTTTCTCCATTTGTCTCACTGATGTGTCCTCTGCAGTCGTTAGGTTCAGCCCAGAAGAGCTCATGGTCCAGGGACAGTAGCAGCTCTCCGTTGTCTCACATTGAAGAGGACCACGTCTACAGGTATCCTGTCACACGCTTGAAATGTTGTGTGTATCATCGTCCTTTTCTTTCACCTGTAGTTGCTGTTAGCAGTTGTCCCTGTCTGTCTCCTCTTCAGTTTTCCAAACAAACAGAAATCGGTAGACTCGTCAACAGCAGCCATGACCTCTGCCATGGGCAGTAACCTGTCGGAGCTCGACAGACTGCTGCTGGAGCTCAACGCGGTGCAGCAGAGCTCCCCTTCATTCCCCACCACAGGTACGTGCAAAGTCCCCTCAGCTTTCTCGCTGCTGTTTGTGGTCAGCAAAATGAGCTGTACTGTTGTGTCTTGTCCACAGAGGAGGCAGCTCCACCTTTACCGTCCTGCAGCATTACCCACTACGAGAACGGCGGCTCCCCTGACATCATGGTGAGCCCCGCCCCTCAGGAGAAACCCAAGAGGAACGGAACGAGGCTGGAAGAGGCCCGGCCCACCGTGGAGAGCCTGCTGGACGAGCTGGAGGGCTCGGTGCCTTCACCCAGGTGCTTTATATCACACATGGAGGCAGGGCGGAAAGCACTAAATCAGTAGATACCTTGAGTTGACGTTTTAGGATCTGTATTGGCAGAGAAATAGCTGGAACAGTGCATCCCGTCATTAGAGCCCCAACACACCAAGCTTACAATAGGCCATTAGCTGAGAATGAACTACTACTCTCTCAATCAGAGCTCCCCAAAACGGACAACATTGCCATCTGAAAGGGCCAACTTATGTTCAAGATCATGTTAACGTTCAAATGGTAGTTTATAGACGAGAGTGTTTTGAACAGGCTGCTCTCGGTTATGTTGTGGAAATGCTTTGAACACGTCACATGGTAGCACATGCAGGTTGGATGACTTTACATAATGTTGCTTTCTTCTTTCTTTCTACTAGTTTTTAAAAAATTTTGTTGAATAATGTAAAATTGATTAGAATGCATGCTAGCTTGTTTTGCCTACATGTGCAGCTGTGTTCAGACTAAAGAGAGGAACTTATCAGTGTGTGACGCGATCTCTGTCTGGAAGGAATGGGAAGACTGTGCTGGGCCATTGTCCTTTGTCTCCATTTAGTTTCATATTCTAAAATGCTGAATATGGCAGTTTCGACTTCTTGTCGGCACAGAATAAGACTATTCAGGTTTACAGTGGCATCAACATGGTTGCAAGTTAGTTTTGTTTTGTCTTTCTGATGTTTTAGGATCAGGAACACAGAATGACAAACCTTACTTCCTCAGAACGTACATGAATGCCAGCAGTCAGCTAGCCTGTTAGCTGTTGTCTTTTACATTTTAATAGAGGATGTGAGGTAATTCTGACTTTTGTGGTAACTTAGACAATACATATTTTGGATTCTGCTGTTGGTAAGGCTTCAATGTTTGCATGTAATAACAAATCGTATTATAATTTGTATTTTCTAGCTCCTCTGCTCGCCACAGCGATTTAGACACACCCTCTCAGCAGCAAGCCAGAATTTCAGCTTCCTGTGCCACAAGAGAGCTCGACGAGCTGATGGCCTCTCTGTCTGACTTCAAGGTACAGAGCAGCATGAGTGACGACTGGAAAGGCTTCAACAAAAACACATTTCTGTTGATTTCTCTGTCCTCTTCCTCTTATCTTGCTTCTGCTTCTATGTCCTTCAGCCCAGTTCTTTGGGCTGTCTGCTGGACCCAGCAGGAGCGTCTTCCAGCTTTCCTCATCCTCCAGCCTCTTCCTCCATCACCCCAGTGGCTTCTCCTTTCCTTAGTCTGTCCCATACGTCTCCCTGTGCCTCTCCTCTGTTCTCTTTGCCTGCTGGTCTAGAGCTGCACATAGACGAGGATAGAGGAGACGGTGGTATGTCAATGCCCCATGCGAACCGTCTCTGTCCTCACAGTCCCATATCCTCACTTTCTGCAGCCAGTGACCTAGACCTGGACTCTGTCATAGATGTCTCTGCCACCATGCTGTCGTCCCAAACCAGGTCTCTGCTTGTCCTCTCTCAAGCCGCTTCCCTTAACTCCAACCTTATGAGAAATAGCCCGAGTCCTTCCAATACCACCACCACCACCACCCACTCGCTAACCTCCGTTAACACTGTCCTGGACCACAAGTCCTCCAAGTCCTCTAGTCCATCTGTAGAGCGGGTCTCGCCCTCAAATACTGTTGGTAAATTCCCCTGTGCTCCTGAGACTATGACCAAGGGATCTTCTTTTCATGACCTTGTTTTGAATTTCTCTACTCCTCCTTTTAAAAACCTCACCCCACCTCTCTCAGCTCCAACGACTCCTTCACCCGTCCCTGCTGCTGTCTGTATATCTCCTCATTCTGCGCATGTTTCCTCAAAAACATCCTCGCCATCTCCAGTCTCTTCCATGACGGTCCCCTCTCCACCAGCCTTCACTAGCACCAGCAGACAGCTGTTGGAGTCGGCCCCCGCAGCCCAGAGAGCCAGCCCCTTCGCTGTGCAGCAACCCCCCATGGGGGAGCCCTCCTTGGACGAGGAGCTGGACAAGCTGCTAGCCATGAGTTTTGCACAGAATCACTCCGAGGCACATGTGGAGGATCCACAGCTGAAGATGGAGGCACATTATTTAGGCAGAGGAATGCAGGAGATGCAGGAGGAGCTCATCCTGCCTCTGGACAGAAACAGCGTGCAGCCCGACACTTTCACCAGCGCCACCAACACCATCACAGACGACTCGGTGGACGGAGGGACTGATGGGAATGGAGATCTGGACTGGGCTGACGAGGAGCTGTCAATATCCTTCCACGATGGACTGGATGGCACCGTGACGCCTTACACCGAGAGGCCGTACACAGACGGCAGCATGACCCCGCTGACAGAGGCCAGCTGGATGGATGAGTCCATGACCCCGTCTTCATGCCCCGGGACCCCTGACGTTGCCCTGGACCTGCCCCTGCTGCAGACTCCCAGTATAGACCGAGTCTCTGCTTCCGGACATGTAATGCATCTCGCCTCTTGCTTGACACAACATGGACTTGTTTTGCTCACATTGTTCTGCTCCTGCTCCAGAGACTGATGCTTCCACACTAGCTAGCCTCTACTTAAACTAAACTAAAACATGATACCGAATATTTATCTGCTAGTTTGCTCACTAGTATAAGTTTCGCACTTTGTCATTTTAAGACAGATAAAACAGGGATTGTTTTGTTAGCATTCTCTCAAATCTTCTTTAGCACAATCAAGTAGGGCTGAAACAATAGGTCAACTAATTGATTAATCGATGAACGGCATGAAAGTTTTTCTGCTTTTCTGTATTTTATATTTTAAAGTGAATATCTTTTGAATGTAGACTATCGGTCACATAAAACACAGCAGGCTTTCAGCTGCTGGAATAGAAGCTGGCTTAGAAATAGAGATGCTCTTTGTAATCAAGAGAACTTGCTTTGATGCTGCACTTAGAAATAACTCACTGATTGGCAGTACCAGTACTGAGCATGGCACATGTAATCCTCCTGACCTGCTGCACCAGTTTTGTGTGAAGGACCCTAATGTCACCTGCGTTGTGAGCTTGGTGTGGTTGTTGAGAGACTAGGAAGGCTGTGAGAAAGATTCATGGGCACCTGACATAAGCATGCTGGAAGTGCATGGAGTGTGACTCCGAGCCCACTGACCACAGCATCCTGGCCTGTCGTGGATTTGTGACTCACCTGCTGCCTCAGCGCTCTGCTGTGACTGCTTCAGCTGGGTTGTGTTTGGTGTGGACGTATGATGAGATGCTCACCATTCCTTCTTAGATAAAATCAGTGATTAGGCGCACCAAGGAGACTCCTAACGTGCACCCCATGTTCCGAGATGGTCTTCTGCGCAGAAAGATGGGACCCGTCATTGTAAACAAGAACACTTCTCAGGACCGCCTCATAGAGGAGCTTCAGGGCAAGTTCGGGATCAGCCGCTCAGAGCGGCGACGTAAACAGTCCGATGATTGGCTGACCGAGGGCGTCGTCGTCACATGCAAACCCCAGCGTTTCCGTCCCGATGGGGCCGGCAGTGAGGTCGACAAGGTTGGCTTCAGTGTGCTCAACAGTTTTCCTCAAATATTGCTATTCCCAATAAATTCACCTTTTCGTTCTCTACACACTTTGCTCTCTGTGTTCCTTCCCTTCTCTCTGTTTTTCTCTGCTCTTTGTTCAGATCATAATTCCCCCAGAGTCGCCTGTCCCCGTGAGGAAGGTGCTCCCGCCTCTCTCTCCCCCCTCCCTTCGTCGCCCCCCTGTTATAGAGGAACCTAAGCGGCTACTCCCAGTACAGCACCCCCCTATTCCTACACCGCCACCTCTCCCTCCACCTCCGCAACCTCGCCACATCCAGGAACCAGTTCCCCCTGCACCTCGGCAGATTATAAAAGCCACACCACCACCACCACCACCACTACCACCAGCCCCAATTCAGGAAGCTCCTGCCCCCAAACCAGAGCCCCCTCCTCCTGTTCTTAAAGCCCCAAACCACCCTCCACCAGTGGAGCCAGTGACACCAATACCACCCAAAGTCCTGGTGTCAGTAGGCTGCCAAACAGAGTATGACCCAATCTTCCCTCCAATGCAGGCATGAACCCCTGTCTCTTATCCCTTCTTGGTTTTCACAGCTTCACATTTTTTTCCATCTTTGTAACGTAAAACGTCATTTTGTTAAACGTCTGTGTGTATCAGGCACATCTTTAACACATAACTATTTTGACAATTTAATCATTTCAGATTATGGCCCAAGGGAAGGGTGGCGTTCCTGGTGGGGCTCCGACACAGGTCAACAAGCTGGACAACATGCTGGGTAGCCTGCAGTCTGACCTCAACAAACTGGGTGTACAGACGGTAGCTAAAGGAGTGTGTGGAGCCTGTTGCAAGCCAATTGTGGGACAGGTGAGATGCTTTTTTTAAAAAGATAGAACGTCTGTAATATACAGTATATGTATTGTAATTTTAATCATTTAATTTGTACAATCCACTTTTCTGTTCGTCTAGGTGGTGACTGCAATGGGCCGCACGTGGCACCCTGAACACTTTGTGTGCACGCACTGTCAAGAGGAGATTGGCTCCAGGAACTTCTTTGAGCGAGAAGGACAACCGTACTGTGAGACCGATTACCACAACTTGTTCTCCCCGCGGTGCTACTACTGCAACGGGCCCATACTGGATGTAAGTCGCTGCTGTTTACGTATGTGGTCGTGTCTGTTGTAGAGTACAGTCAGCCACAACTCGTGTTCTCATGTCTGTTCAGAAAGTTGTGACGGCGCTGGATAGGACATGGCATCCCGAACACTTCTTCTGCGCTCAGTGTGGATCTTTCTTTGGGCCAGAAGGTATTGTGATTATATCTACAGTCCAGTCATAGTAGTACAAACAATAGTTTCTGTTTGCATTTCGGTTTTGTGATTTATTAAATCCTGTTTGTTATTTCTATGAAGGCTTTCATGAAAAGGATGGAAAAGCCTTTTGCAGGAAGGATTACTTTGACATGTTTGCACCAAAATGTGGCGGCTGTGCCAGAGCCATTTTGGAGAACTACATCTCAGCGCTGAACAGCCTTTGGCATCCTGAATGTTTTGTCTGCAGGGTCTGTATCTTGTCATTTCTGTCACTCTGGCGTTATTTCATGTACCAGAGTTCAGCTGGATATTGTTAAAGGAATGATAGCTCCAGAATAACGGCATCTTCCTCTGCTTCCTCTATTGTTTTTGTTCACAGGAGTGCTTCACCCCGTTTGTGAATGGAAGTTTCTTTGAGCACGATGGCCAGCCTTACTGTGAAGTGCACTACCACGAGCGCCGTGGCTCCCTCTGCTCCGGCTGTCAGAAGCCCATCACGGGACGCTGCATCACAGCCATGTCCAAGAAGTTCCACCCGGAGCACTTTGTCTGTGCCTTCTGCCTGAAACAGCTCAACAAAGGCACCTTTAAAGAACAAAACGACAAGCCTTACTGCCATGGCTGCTTCGTCAAGCTGTTCAGTTAGGGAGTTAGTGAGAGCAGCTCTGGATCAGGTCAGATCAGTGTCTAAAGCATCTTTAGCACAGGTAGGGTTGGGATGGGATTTATTGTGTTGGTATCAAAGAAGGCTGTCCGTTCTCTGATAGTGACATTGGAAGTGTGTATGGATTAAGTATGTGCATGTGGTTGAAGCAGCATACAGTCTCTGCTAAAATACTTGTAACTCGTCCTTCATCAACTTGGAGAAACGTCCCTATATTCAGACCGCCAGCTCTGCAATTTGCATTGAGGCTCTTATACAGGTGGTTTTGAGTTTTGGTCAGTAGGCCGGAGTGTGACGCAGATATACTCAAAAGGTGACATTACGAGGGTTTTCAACTCAACACTGATAATATACACGACTACGGTGTTTTTCTTAATCCCCTGAAATGTGTTGGATATGTTCAACAGGCAGAGAGCTGTCATTGTCTGTGTTTTTATCTTGTTAGATAGTGGTGAAATCTTACTGAACACTGTAGAAATTCATGAAACACTAGGCATGTGTGACATTGTTGCTCACTGGTTGAGCGTGTCATTTTAGAAACCATCAAAAAGAATCCAACACCTACAGCAGGGAGCAGGTGACTTGTTGTTTTTTAACGTTACAATGGAGGAGGGTAGAACACGTATCCCCCTCACATGGTGTAAAGTTGGAAAGAGCAGATGGATGTATCCATAATATCACTGTAGCATTGACTGACAATGGGCTGCCTCAGCATTCACAATTACTTTGTGTGTGTGAACAGTCTAGTGTCTTTACACTACGTGTCACAAAGATGAGTTTGAACTGAATCCATCTTACAGTTTCCAGAATCAGAGTGACAAACCACACCTATTTTTTAGCCAAAGGCAAACTATGCATGGATGAGTATTTTCACAGTGATTGTCAATGAGGAAGTTCAGTATGTAGTCGTCCACCAGTAGCTGCCGTATCTGCCAAATCATTCCTTGTATTTTCACAGAAGAAAAGAGAAAACGATCTGAAATCTGATTTTTGCAGTTGTCTCTTGAAGTGGAATCACGCAAAGATGTTGGGAGTATATTGTGCATCTCTTAAACTACCATTACTGTTTCTAGGTACATCCTGACTAGTTTTTTGTATATATCAAAAGCAGCTGCAATGTAAGCAAAATGCTGGCATGCTTATTAGCATGTACATGCGTTTGATAACCACTCATTCAAAGAAGGAGAGGGCTGGTGAGGAGGCATAGCAAAGATATTTTGATATTTTTGGTATCATTACTGTATTGAGAAGCTGATGAATGTTCACTTGTTTTTGAAAGAAGTTCACAAAACGAGAAAGTTGCCTGTGATGTTCCAATGACTCTGAAACCGGGAATTAACAGCTTTGTATTTCAGCATCGGGCGTCTGCCTGTGCCATTGTATCAGTACCATGTCTAATAACACTGGCAAAGTCAGCACAATACTCATAACAGGTCAATAGTCCGCAGTGATGTTTCATGTAGGAGTCCACTGAAAAATGATGGCTGTAAAAGTGAGAGGCCGGTGGTCAGTTGATGACTCGTGTCCCTCAGCATCTGAGTAGCATCTACTGTATGACCACACCTCCACGTGGGATCATGACATGCAGCATATATATATATATATATATATCGAGCCTTTTGTCTTTTTCAGGGAATTCTAGAGCCTTAAATCCTTTTTCACTCTACTTAAGATATCATGTAACGGTTGTCTTTTCGAATCAGTTGAGTAGAGTGTTATTTAACCAAAGCCATACCTTATTTGAGTTGTTTGTGTCTCTTCTTCTTTCTTTTCTTTTCACTCTGAATGTCAGTAGTAATGAACAGTGATATTCCTCTCATCTAGTCTGATTAAAGCAAATAAATTCAGTTTTGTTATTAAATAGTATACAAGGGCTTCATTTGTGACATGTTTTCACTCGATGCGTCAATTTTACACTCGCACTCAAGGAAACACCATCGAACACGAACATTAGTCCAGCTGTACAATGCAGTTGTTTGGTTAAATCTTTGCACTGTTGTTTAGTTAGTTAATTTAATATTCTATTTTATTGTATATATTGTGCATTTTTATATTTAACATTTTAAAATATTTTTTACTGTTTTTTTTTATTGCTTTACCTGTACCTATTAATGCTGCTGTAGCGAAAAAATGTCTACGCTATTAATAAAGTAACGATCTATACCTCCTTCCTCCTCAAAGATTAAAGAGGTAAGGAGGCTATTTTAAATGCATGAGCAATAGAGACTACTGCCCCAACATTCAAACTTAAAACAAAAACTTAATTCAGATAGTAAACCAGATGTTTTGACTGAAAAACAACAGACTCTATATAACTTTAGAGAGGCAGTACACGCCCCGCACCAGCTGGGGGCGCTAATGCAACGCTGTCGTTGGTCAACCGCCACAAAATGTAGAGAAGAAGAAGAAACAGGAGCCGTTCCGTCCTGTGATTGGACACAAGTATCACGTGGTTGATAGTCATACCAGGGAGAATGACATGTTTATTTTTGCTAACACTTCAGGTAAGTCGAGTTAAAGTCTGGCAAAGAATGTGTTACTGTATTCTTTTGTACAGTACGGTATGTCTATTTGTACAAGTTCAAGAAACGAAGGTCTTGCTAGCGTTGACTTTAGTTATAAGTGTACCAATCATTAAATACCGTTAAACAGCATTCATGTGTCCTTGTTTATCAGAGAATGAGCAATGCTATTATATATCTCTTAAATAGTATGAAAGGTTCATTCATGCGTAAAGTTTATCAAACATTTGATGAGCGTTTTGAGTTAAACTTAAAACGTCAGTATTAATCAGTATAAGTTATAAGATATGCATTAAGTATTTACATGTCGTATATTTCACCCTGATGGTACAGCAGGTAGTTTGGCCTACAGCCCTGAGGTGAGCACGAGAGGGATGGTTATTACCTCATCATCTTAAAGGTCATGCCAAATCCCTCAGGTGTCATTTTTAAATGTCAGCTGTGGATTTAATGTTTTTTTTTGACAAATTGGTGAACCTACAACATCCACATGTCTTTCAGGTATCTTAATGCAAAGTGGACTCAAACATCGGCCTCACCACAATGGCTTCCTACTTTGATGAACACAACTGTGAGCCCACCAACCCGGAGGAGCAGTATCGTCAGAACGCACTACTTGAGCTGGCCAGGTGAGGCTCAACACACTTCCCACACATTGTAAGGCTTCACATTGATTACTAGTGTACAGTAAGACCGTTGGTTTGTTCATAGGTCTTTGATGCAGGGCTTGGACTTATTCGACTCGGGGGCGTTCGACTTGTCCGACTGGGACCAGCGTCTCCCTCCTCCGGCTGCCAAAACGGCTGTTCAGACCCTCACTGTGGTCATCATTTCTCCAGAGCAAGCAGGTGACAGACATGACATCAGTCATGTTTAACTGATATTCAACAAATGCGGAGGTTTACAGAGGCAGAGATCATGCTTAGGTAGGGAGGGATTTAACTGTGTGTGTGTTTTTATATCTCACAGATAAAGGTCTCAAGTGTCCTGTGTGTTTGCTGGAGTTCGAGGCACAAGAGTCAGTTCGAGAAATGCCTTGCAAACATCTTTTCCACTCCGGATGTATACTGCCCTGGTTGGGCAAGGTAAAGCTGACACATGTATCATTCAGAATTCAATTCCACATCGGACATGTTCGGGAAAAACATACCTTTTTGAATCTTTTGCATGTTTTTAATTGTAGACCAACTCCTGTCCGCTGTGCCGCCTTGAATTAGCGACTGACAATTCAGAGTATGAGGAGTTTAAAAAAGACAAGGTGAGTGTGTAAATATGCTTTGGACGGTACAAATGAGCGTCATCTTCTAGCTGTGCTTCCTGTATAGCACCAGTCCCGAGCTGAGTGTTGTTTTCTGTCCTGTAGGAGAGAAGAAAACAGAGGGAGCACCGGCTGGAGGACCTACATGGATCCATGTACACATGACTCAACTGTGCTGTGGCACAGCGACTTTTTACAGAAATTTATGAGAAAAATGAATGTTTCAGGAAATGCATAATGCTGCATTCATGCCATTTCGTGCAGAACTTAATTTCAAGCATGCGATAGGGAAAAACTCTCATGTCAGCCTCATATCTGTAGTGATGAGTCAGGAATATAAATGACATCTTCACTATCTACCAATTGGCAAAAATAACTACAGAATTACAAGCTGTAAAGCCACCATCACTGAATAATATCCCACATTCAAAAACTATGTAACACCATTCTAAAAAAACAAAACAACGAATTTGGTTTGACTGCATTCGGGGTAATCATCGGCATGAATGCAGCATAAGCAACAGGATCATTGAACATGCTCATATTTCAGTTGGATAAATGTTCTTTTCTTTGTAGTTAGGATGAAAATATTTTATGACAAGTATGATGTTGACGGCGGCCCTGAAGCATTTCTGTTTTTATTCCTTTTTGATTTAAATCTATAACCTTTTAAACGTCTGTTCAGGTGTATTTGTCAAATTTATATGATTTATTTAAACACAGGAATATATTTTAATCACCGACTCTTTTCATTTTTTCCACAGAAATAATTTTTAAAGCGCACTTCAGTAATGCAATATGAATAGTATACACTTACATATATTCTGCATTTTATGTCAGGTACCCTGTCAGGTAAATGCCCCCACTGTCATACGGGCTGTCATTAGGTTTGTTTTCTTCAAGCCAAGGTACGAACTGAACAATCTCTTCTCGAGCCACAGAATATATACAACTACTTTCACTGGCTGAGTAGTACTTGCCTCATGCTGAGTAAACTGACCTTTTTGTGTAAAATTGTTTGGTTCCCCTTTAACTTGTCCCGTGATGTTTGAGGAGGCAACGCCTCTCTTCTGGCCGAGACAGAGGAACACTTAATAACACAACCAGTGTGATCTGGATTGTTTTTTTGATTCTCCTACATCACATGCAGATTTATACCACTTCTATACTACAACAATAATCTGGGGAAAACCCATGTTTGCTATTTGTGCATGTGGTAACACACAATGTAGAACTTGCAACCTTGCTGACTCAACTTAGGTAGGATTTTTAACCAGCAGTACATTATGCAAGTTAGCCATTCTTTGTCATATGCCAAAAGTTATTTATAATTGTGTTTAAAATGAATAGACT